GGAAGGGACCTCACAGGGTTATCTAGTCCAACCCCCTGCTCAAAGCAGGACCAGCCCCAACTAGATCGTCCCAGTCAAAGCTTTGTCTAACTGGGTCTTAAAAACTTCCGAAGAAGGAGATTCTACCACCTCTCTGGGTAACCTGTTGCAGTGTTTTACTACCCTCCTAGTGAGAAATTTTATCCCAGTATCTAACCTAAAATTCCCTTGATGCAACTTGAGACCATTGCTCCTTGCTCTGTCATCTGCCACCATTGAAAACAGTCCAGCTCCATTCTCTTTTGAACCCCCCTTCAGGTAGTTATCAAACCCTCAGTCTTCTCTTCTCTAGACTAAGCTCAGATTCTCTCTGCCTCTCCTCACAAGTCATGTGCCACAGCCCCCTAGCCATTTTTGTTCCCCTCTGCTGGGCTCTCTCCAATTCGTCCACATCCTTTCTGCAGTGGGGAGCCCAAAACTAGACACAGTACTCCAGATGGGGCCTCACCAGTGCTGAACAGAGGGGAAGAATCATTTCCCTCAACCTGCTGGCAACTCTCCTACCAATGCAGCCCAGTATGCCATTAGCCTTCTTTGCAACAAGGGCACACTGTTGGCTCATATTCAACTTATTGTCCACTGTAATCTCTACATCCTTTTCTGAAGAGCTACTGCCCAGCCAGTCAGCCCCCAGCCTGTACTGATGCATGGGATTGTTCCATCCTAAGTGCAGGACTTTGCACTTGTCCTTGCTGAACTTCATGAAATTTCTTTTGGCCCAATCCTCAAATTTGTCTAAGTCACTCTGAATCCCAGTCCTACCCTCCAGGATACCAACTAGCTACTATCCCAGCTTGGTGTCATCTCCAAACTTGCTGAGGGTGCACTCTGTGCCATCTTCCAGGTTGTTGATGAAGACGGTGAACAAAATTGGCCCCAGAACCAACCCCTGAGACTCTCCACTTGATACCAGCTGCCAACTAGACATCAAGCCCTTGATTTGAGCTTGATGCTCCAGCCATTTTTCTGTCCACCTTACAGTCCATTCATCCAGCCCATACTTCCTGAGCTTGCCTGTGAGAATGTTGTGGGAGACTGTATCAAAAACCTTGCTTAAAAAAAAAAAAAAAAAAAAATCAAGGTACACCACATCCACCAGTCTCCCTGCATCCACAGAACTAGTCATCTCATCACAGAAGGCAATCAGGTTGGTCAGGCATGACTTGCCATTGGTGAATCCATGCTGACTATTTCTAATCACCTTTTTCTCCTCCAGGTGCTTAGAAATGGATTCCTTGAGGATCTGCTCCATGATTTTTCCAGGGATCAAGGTGAGGCTGACTGGTCTGTAGCTCCCTGGATCCTCCCTTTTCCCTTTCTTAAATATGCATACTACGTTTGCCCTTTTCCAATTGTCCGGGACCTCTCCTGATCGCCACAAGTTTTCAAAGATGATGGCCAGTGGCTCTGCAATCTCATCAGCCAACTCCCTCAGCACCCTTGGGTGCATTCCATCTGGCCCCATGGGTGAGTACACATCCAGCTTTTCAAAATAGTCCCTAACCTGTTCTTTTGCCACTGTTTGCTGCTCACCTCCTCCCCAAACTATGCTGCGTGATGCAGTAGTTTGGGAGCTGACCTTACCTATGAAGACTGAGGCGAAGAAAACATTGAGCACTTCAGCCTTTGCTGCATCCTCGGTCACAAGATTGCTTCCACCACTCAGTAAGTGGGACACACTTTCCCTGATTCTCCTCTTGTTACTGACATACTTGTAGAAACCCTTCTTGTTACCCTTCTCATCCCTTGCTAGCTGTGACTAGAGCTGTGTTTTGGCCTTCCAGATTTCATCCTTGCATGCCCAAGCAATACTCTTATACTCCTCTCTAGTTGTTTGTCCAAATTTCCACTTCTTATAAGCTTACTTTTCGCGATTTAGTTTACTGAAGAGTTCCCTGCTAAGCCAAACTGGTCTTCTCCCATACTTGCTAGTCTTCCTGCACATTGGGATGGCTTGCTGCTGCACTCTCAGTAAGGCTTCTTTAAAGCATGGCCAGCTCTCCTGGACTCCTCTCCCCCTCAGTCTGGCTTCCCAGGGGATCTTGCCCATGAATTCCCTGAGTGAGTTGAAGTCTGCTTTTCTGAAGTCTGGGGTCCTTACTCTGCTACTCTCCATCCTTCCTTTCCTCAGCATCCTGAATTCAATCATCTCATGGTCACTGCTGCCCAAGTTGTCATCCACTACTACATTTCCCACCAATTCTACCATATTTGTGAGCAGCATGTCAAGAAGAGCATGGCCCCTACTTGGCCGCTCCAGCACTTGCACCAGGAAGTTGTGCCCAACTCTCCAGAAACTTCCTGGATTGCCTGTGCACTGCTGTATTGCTGTCCCAGCAGATATCAGGATGATTGAAGTCCCCCATGAGAACCAGGGCTTGTGACTGGGAAACCTCCGCTAGCTGTTTAAAGAAAGCCTCATCCACCACTTCCTACTGGTCTGGGGGTCTATAGCAGACACCCACTACAACATCACCCTTGTTGCTCTCCCCTCTAACCTTAACCCAGAGACTTTCAATAGGCCCGTCTCCAGTTTCATACTGGAACTACGAGCAATCATATGGCTCTTTTACATAAAGTGGAAACCCTCCTCCTCTTCTCCCCTGCCTGCCCTTTCTGAACAGTTTGTACCCATCCATGACAGTACTCCAGTCACACAAGCTATCCCACTAAGTCTCTGCTATTTCAAATCACATCATAGTTCCTTGACTGTGCAAGGACTTCCAGTTCTCCCTGCTTGTTTCCCCAAGCTCTGTGCATTTGCGTACAGGCAGTCCTCGAACTTACAACACAATTGAAAACCTGAAAACCATGTCCTAAGTCGAAATGTTGCAACTCGGAACCAATTTTCTCATAAGAAACAATGTTATAAATGGGGGATTGGTTCCTAAATCAAGGCCCAATACCCTATTTTCACCAAAAAATACCCCAGAATGTTGTACTCGATCAATTATACATGAGTAATATAGCTACATTAATGCATTTATATTGTAAATAGCAATCATATTGATTTGGAAGGACTTCTTTGAGGTGACTTTCCTGGACTTTTTGAAGGGCTCTTTGTTGGACTTTTTGAAGGGTTCTTGGCTGGAGTCTTCTCAGGAGTCTTGGCTGCAGGTTTTTTCTGGAGCCTTGTCTGCTGTCTTAAAGAAAGTGTCCAAGGATGTTTGGACAGATGTTCTCCAGGGAGATGAGCGACGCAGCGAACTTGTTCGCTGGCATGGTGTCGCATCAGATCAAGCATTGTAAAGTCAAAACTGACATCATAAAGTTGAAACAGCGTGTCAATTTATAAAGGTTGTAAGTCGAGGACTGCCTGTACAGGCACCTGAGGTAACTAGTCAACTGCCCTGATTTCTTAGGAAATGTGAGAACACCTCCCCAGAAAGGACACTCCAGCAGAGAAACATATCACATCTTTAAAAAAAAGTCACATGAATACCCTGCAACAACCTACTGTAATACAAAAATAACGCCCCCATAAATTGCACTATGTTGGTTGGTACATACCATCCTACACTAGAACCCATAACAAGGATCAAACAATTGCAGCGTATAATTAAAAAAGATAGGACCCTGAGGGAAAGATTCCCTGCTCCCAGTCTTCAAGCATCCCCCTGGAACTGCTCACTAACAAATGCAATCTCCCCTCCAATCAGGAGACTCCAAATGGGACACACAACCCTGCCTTAGAAATAAATGCAAACCCTGTGAACACTTCTCCAGAGCCACAACAATAAACATGGATCCTACATGTGTAGTATGTCACCAAAATGGTATACATCTCCTTAAGTGTACCAGATGGCCTCAGGGAAACTAAGTAGGTGGAACTATGCACCAGAATGAACTCTCACAAAATACATAGATAGGACAGAGACACATGAAGACCAGCCGGAGCACATTTTTCACAGAATATATTCACCCGTTCTGATCTCACAATGCTTGTGCTCAAAGAATATTTACATAATACCACCAAGATGGGCCTGGGAACAGAAATTCATAACCCTACTGTTATGAATCCATAACACGACATAAAAAAATGAACTAAATCCAAACAATGTCTTTATGGATCGTTATAACCTAGCAAATACTCCTAAGTAACAACTCGCGTCTTGAATGGTCTCCCTCTGCCACTAACTAGATTTCCTATCTACTGATCTTTTTTTCTTATAAGGACTCCTTTTAACATTGTTTCACTCCTTGTTCACAGCCCTCCTCCATTCCTCCAAGGAGAATGCATTTGCATGGACTCTTCTCTCTGGCACTCAGTCAGCCTGCATCTGCCTATTTCTTAGACCCGAGGAAGGCACTTGATGCCTGAAAACTTGTCCAATGGCTCTCCAAACTATACAGCTTTTCCAATAAAAAGATATCACAAATAATCCTTGCCACTTGGACATTCCCTAAACCATCATGGCTACAGCACTGCAAAATTACTACATTTAAATCATTCTCTATGTTGTACTAAATGATTCACTTTCAGTTTTAATTAACACTAAAAAATCTAAATATAACAACATTCTTTTCTTTAAAAAAAAAAACCTGTGTCAACTTTACAGTTAACTAACAACCAAAACAACAACTAAAAACTTATTCTTGCCTACATGCTACAAAAAAGTTCTGAAAATAACTGTTTTTTTCAAGTCATAAATATATCGCTCTCTTTCCTTCTTTTTCTGGAAAGGATACAATGCATACCAACAAGAGAACTTGCTTCTCCTTCACTGAATATTTTTTTCTATTGCAAAGCTCTACTTTTAGTATAAAGAAAGATTAGTTGTTAGGATAAATACTGCTGATGTAATTATGCATTCAACACTAACGTAATGAAGAAACTCCCTACCGGGTTATTTAGAAAATCAACATTCTATTCATTATGATGGATTAACATTAGTCATTTTCATATGACCATTGTGGCAAAGCTAAGGCTCACATAAAGCCTTTTTATATGGTTTCATTACCTCTGAATTAACATATTCTTCCTGCAAGTGTTTGCACTCATCTTTCAGCTTTTCAGATTCTCTCTCACGTTCCAAAGTCATCTTGTCCATCAGCGTCTGAACTTGAACCAGCTCCTTCTTTAGAACAGCTACATCCTCTTGACCAGGCCTTTGCAGCTAAATAGTGACACAATGTATAGTTGTAATAAAGAAATCTGATGACAACAGAAGTGTTGGCAATTTGGTTTCATGCTCTGTAAAGACTTCCACATTCATTTCACGAGGTTTCTTGTTGGAAAAAATTGCAAAAGGAAAAGTTTCTCACAAAACAAGAAATTAAAAAAGATCAATGTAGACATTTGCTGTTCATACTGTGGGACAATGCAAAACTTAAATCAGGAGCTAGATCCCATATACATTTGATGCTGTTCAAAATATACACTATGACCTGGTATGGTTTCTAAACTAAAAAGATAACAGAACAAAAGGAGGCACAGAGGAAGAAGTTAACAAGCAAAGTGATCAGGGAAGAAATAACTGACTGACAGACATCAGTTCCAAAAGGTGGGTCGGTTACTCCATATGTTATAAAAAGGCTCTGCTAGCTGGGCTCTTATGAGGAGTAGATACAACATTTAGCACTGATGTGGGAAGAGAAAAGGAACTGCTAGTGTCAGAGAAGCGAAAAGCATAAGAGTGAGGAAAAAGGTAAAGAGAGAAAGAAGAAGGAAGAGAAGATCATGAGAAGTACAATGACGAGGGAGAGCAAAACTGGGCAGCTGAAAGGTTGCAGTAGTAGGGTAGCATGGAGTCAGACAAAAACAGGTCAACCACTAGTAAAATACAGCAGTGTGTGGAGTAGGGGGGGAAGACTGAAGGAGGGAGGAGAGAGCAAGGGAAGGGAGGAGAGGAGTGAAAGGAATAGGAGACAGAGGATCCAAAACATGATTGTCAGGGCGCATTAATGGAAGATGACATGAGGATGGAAGAGCCACCACCTAAAAAGTTTTGCTGCACCCTATATAGAAAGCAGGTTTCCAGATCTCTGGCCAGGTTCCTCAAAAATTGTGATCATGAAAAAGACTGCTAGGAAAAACTAATCTTTGAATACTGTACCTCTACAGAGCCACAATGTGTCTTGGTGTGACAAAGTCAAGTGCCAAATAAGCAGTGGCACAGATAAGGCAATGATAGCTATCAGCATTTTAATCACCACCGCTGCCCTTGTAAGCAGGTCTTATGAATTAGATTGTCTGGCGGCAGCAAGAGTGAAACACATTACCTTTTTCCTCTTAATCTAGATAGCCCTTGAAGTTAGCAGTGGCACTCTCCAGGAGTGACGGTTGCCTAGTAAGGCCTAAACAGGCAGGTACAAGTATTAATACATAGTGACATTCATGAAAAAGGAAGCTACTCAGAAACCTTAGAATAGTGTACTAGATAGTTAGCATGTTTTAATATATTTTGTGCAGCATAATGCAAGCTGTTTAATTTTTAGAGTAGGCATAATTTGCACCTCTGTAATGAGAAGTTACTGGAAATTTAGGACATGAAACAGATATTTTCTGAATGCTTTCTTCTGCAAAGAGCTAACTTCCAAGTTCAACAGTGACAGTCTGTTTTAAAACTACATTTGGAACGAGCAAACAATTGAAATCCATCCCCACTTTATTTTGAGACTGTCAGGATAAATTAAATAAATATCATGATATAAATTACCAGTTCGGTCTTCAGGTCCTCTATTACAGCTCTCTCTCTCTGCAATTCTTGTGTCAAATTCATCACTTTCTGCTCAGCACCTTCTCGAAGACTCATTTCTTCATCATACTTGGCCTTAAGATCTAGTTAAGAGGGATGTTAGGCAAAAGATAATTTATTCAAGGTTCAAGATAAAAGGAGAATGGGATTGCATGGCATATACCTACCCACAATTTCAGTAGCCAGTTGAGCTGCTTTCTGTTCAAACAGGTCTTTCATTTGCTTAATATTAAAATTTTCTACTTGGATCTCTTCTAGTTGCCGTTCTAATGATTCAAGTTCTATAAGAAGAAGAGTCTTATGCTAATTTCCCCAAAATAAATTACAGTAAAGTTATACAGACAGTTACATAGATAAAAAGCACTGAAAATGAATAATCAACCTAAGCTCGCTTAACTTTCAATTCACTGCAGTAAGACTATTCACATGCTAGAGTTTTTTGCTGAAGCCAATCAGAACACTCAGCACTTTACATGACAAAGCACTTATTCTGACCAATGGAAAAAGACAGTATATCCAGCTTGGATTACTTTTGTATGCTGCTGATTTTTCAGCCCTGCGATGCCATTAGAAGTCATATAATAGAGATCATCAGGAGACAGTGCGCACACATAAGGAAGTTATTATTCTTGAGTGCCCCATACAAATATCACATGGAACAAAAATTGTAAGTATGCAGGATTTTTTTAAACAAGAAAAGCATTCTCTTTGGCAAAAAGCAGGAAAGAAAGGCACTAAATAGAACAAGCACTGACAACTGATATAATAAGTGTCAGTCATTTGTCTCCACGCCCCCTCTGGGGCACATGTCTTTTATTAGCTGTTTGGATGATTGAAACTGTTGAAGGCATGATCAAAACCATGATTAGAAGTCCTTCCACAGTCACAGACATCTTCCTCAGAAAAAAGAAGGAATGATTCAATGAAGCAAATGCAGTCTAACATTCTTACATACCATGAATGGTAGAGGTCACCTTCATAAATGCACAGGAATATATTTATACAAAAAGACAATTTTACATAATTGCAGCATTTAGCCTTAAAGTCAAGTAAAGATTATTCATCATTTTGCCAGAAAAATACAATGAACTTGCTCCCACAATTTTCAAAGCAAAGTAGAAAGTACAGTATTAAAATGTGGGTTTTTTTACCTGTAGATGCAGGTGTCAAACCATCAGGCTTAGACTCCTTAAAAAATAAATAAAAGGAAGTAAAAAAAAAGAAAAAAAGAATAAATGCATTACCAGGCAATCAAGACAACAAATAATTCAAAGGACAGTTCCTGTGGCATCTGAAAATGAGTGCCATACTTGGAAACTTTAAAACCGGTACTGAAATAGATGTGCAGGCTTTGCTGCTGTAAAGTAATTTGTGTACTTGATTAAGCATCTCTCTGAAGGGAGTTACCCCTGACGAATAGAAAAGGTCAATATAATGTTCCATCCCTTTGTACTGCTAAGCCATCACACTCTCAAACTAGAAAGGGTGCAATGGTAACAAGTCTTCCTTTACCTTGAATCTGTCTGTGCAAATATTATGCATGCTAATATACAGAATAGAAAACAAAGGGATTTTTTTCACCCAAGAAAGTTCTGGTGACTAGTCTCTTGATTGCATGGGAGTAACAAGTCTTACATATCATTTATGTGGTGTGTATGAATTTTACTGGCCCTCTGAACAGGGATACATTTCACCCAGCATGTGTATTTCTGAGCTTTGTATAATTACATTTTGAAGTAACTTACTATGTGAAGATAAGTTGGAACACAAGTACTTTCACTGGCCAGTTAAGAGGGTTCAGACTATAATTTTTTTTTTTGCTACACAATTTAGGTTATGTGGGATTTTATGGTTTATTTTGTTTTTAATTATACTACTTTCCTCAGAAATATGTTGGAAGCAAAAATCTTACTACAGCTTCTAAAATATCAGTCAAAATACCAGAGGGTTGTGAATGACCACACTGGAAGGAAAAACCTGAATCCAGATTACAGGGCATGCGTTAGGAAAGGAACACTAAATACATTAACATCCCTTTAGCCTTAAAACCCAGAAACGACTGTCAAACACTGGTTTATTAGAATCAAGTTATATAATTACTGAAATCAGGCCACGTGCCTCACAAAAAGGGTATTAATCTTCAAATGCCAATGATGATAATTAACTGCTTGCTGTAAACCTGCTTCAAGTATTTTAAAGCAATTACTTGCTGCTGCTGCCCTTGCACCTTTTCCAGTTCCTTCTTCAGTTCTTCTGAGTACCACCTTTCCTCCTAGAGGAAGGAGATGAAAAGCACATGTGGTAAGTGTACAATTTAAGCTTACTGATGCACTTCACAATTTGAAATAATGCAAGTAAAATCCTTTTCAAACCTTAAGTGAAGTTTGCAAGTCTTGGATTTCTTGTCTGAGTAGTGATATTTCATCTCTGGATGCATGTAATCCATGGAGTGGAAAAATGAACAACTAATGGTTAATGACAATTAACAACTAGTAGTTAATTATTACATTAATACATATAATACCACCTACTAAGAATTGTCTTTACAAAACCTTCATACAGAATCTCATGTCAATACCTTAATACACTCTTAAATTTCTGAATTTTGGAACTAAAATTAAATTAAAGTCAGCCATTATCTCACTTTCAAACTATGCATCTAAAATACTAAGACATCAAACCTGAAACCTGTATTTCAATCTAACATATCCATGATGCAAAATATTCTTTTCATGAAAGAATTGAGGTTTTCACAATTCCCTTAAAATATTAAATTATATTTTTACAGGACAGATCAACTACACAAATTCAGAATTGCAAAATAATGCTTTAAACTACTTAACTGTTACAAGTTTTGTTTATAAAAAGGGCAGAATAATTCCCATTCAATTTCCATATCACATAAAGAAGCTGCACTAGAAGGTAGAATGCTGTCTTATTTCTTCTGAACAGAAACATTATATAGGATCTCACTTGCAGAGCAATTCAACGTACCCGCTAATTTGAAGGCCTGCTGTTTAAAACTAGGAGTCCATTACTCTCAAATTTCACTCTGGAGCCTGATTTTCTAAGCCACAGAGGAAACTGAGATCTGAGGCTAAAATACTTCCTAAACTTCTAATATCTTATGTCTGCTGGCTGAATTTTGAGGATCATATCCCACCACTGAAACACAGCATGTGTGCATGCATAATACAGCAGTTATTATAATGATGCCAACAGCTCATCATTTTTGGTTTGTACAATAGGAGCACCAAGGAACTCCAATCACAATTAGAAAGCACTACAGAACAACTGAGTCAAGGCAAGTTTAACTAGTGATTCAATGCTTGTATCCAATTACAGCAACAACAGGATTCAGGAGTTTCTCAGCTGGAAAAGTTTAACTACGTAATATTTTTACAGATATACGACTACTATGCCTTCCCCAAATCACAGACATTTCTTGTATGATGATCTCAGGGAGGGGAGGTTAGCTTATTTCACTTGGGAAGGAATTTACTCTACATTGGTGAAAACCACTTATGGCATATACATACACTACCATCATTTACTGCTCCACAGAGCATTATGCTCTAACATACCACACCTGCTCTGCTCACACTACCTCAAATCTGAAACAAAACAGCCACAAGGCACTGCACCTGCTAGCTAATTCAGTCTCCAATTAGCACAAGTGCAGTGCTGCATAAAACACAGCTACACACCTCATTTTGACAACAGTACATGTGGAAAAATGTGCCAAGTTTGAACACACTGCCTGGAGAAGTGAGCACACCTTACGATTTTTCACGCTTATGTTTTGCTGGCATACTTAGATTGATAAGTAGCCTTAAAAAAAAAATTAGACATCTAACAGTCAATAATGGCTGCAATAGAGTATCTGCTGGCAAAGATATTCTGGCAAAAGTTTCACAGCTGGCCTAGCTTATTCCTTATAGAGAACTGGACTGCATATAGCAGCAAAAGACTGTTTTGTCAATATGATCCAAATGATCACTAGAGGAGACTACTGGTATAGTCCTACCAGTATAACCTTGCTAGGCCACTCTTTTAAGTGTTAACAAGGCTTTATAGTAGAAGAAAGTGTCTCTACAGGGTGCTAGACCACTGTAACTAGACTGGTTCATGTTTACATCTTAAGATGACATCAAAAAACAAACAAATGGAAACATCTTCCCTGAGTAAATATTTCCTCAGACAGGCAAGATGTAGTTAAACAGTACTGGAATCTGGCCAGAACTACATAACAGATGCTCAGAGTATTGTGAACTGTACCATATGATCCTTAATTATTCAAAGCAGTGAAGAGCTGTTTCATATTTCACCCCAAAATGGTACATTTCAGCAGAGAAAATGTTATGCAAAACACTACCAAATACTTTCATATCACTGGAAAGAGGTGAAGACAGGAGGTTAGAACATCAGTTCCTCTGTAATAGTTGTCTTTGATAGTGAGAACAGAAAAAGTTAACATAGATTGTTAATGAAATTAAAAAGACAAGCAAGCAATATTCAAGGGACATATCTAGTTTAACAAATTACAGATTAACACAGTTGCATGCATTTATCTTTAAAGTGTTCACTTTTTTAAAATTTTCTGTAAAACTCTGATCTAAAAATATGCAATGCTATCCAAGAAACGCTGAAAATGCCACAACATCAGGAAAAATAGCCCATGTTTTATACAAGAGGTCTCATCTGACTTCTTCCACTCACAGAATGATCTCAGCCTCCAACCTTGTTCAATTTCTTACTGTTCTTAACATGAAAGGTAAAGAGAAGCCAAGCTCATAAAGGATAATTGCCAAAGCCCTGAACAATTTATATTCCACCAGCTAAAAGCCTGTGTGGATGGGAAAGTTATATTGTAAAAACTATTTGTTTAAATTCATATGAAATTATGTGTTTAAACTCAGATGAAACTCAACAGGGACAACTGCAAAGTCCTGCGTGTGGGGTGGAATAACTGAATGCACAAAAAGACCAGGGAATAAATGGACAGACCGCCGAGAAGGACCCGCGGGTTAGAGTAGCCCATTAGCTGAATATGAGCCAACAGCGTGCTTCTGTTGCAAAGAAAAAGAAAGGGGAAAAAGGAAAAAAGCCAACAGCATACTGAGCTCTAGTAACAGGAATGTTGTTTGCAAATCAAGGGAAGTGATTCATTTTTTCTCTTCAGCACTAGTGGGGCCATACCCAGAGTACTATGTCCCATTTTGGGCCCCACACTTCAAGAAGGATGTGGGCAGATCAGAGAAAGCACAGAGCAACAAAAATTATTAGGGGCATGGAAAGCATGACTTATAAAGGAAGGTAGAAAGAACTAGGGTTATTTACTCTGGGGAAGAGAAGGGAGGGGGGGATTTCATAACTGTCTTCAAATACCTGAAGGGCAATTATAAAGAGGATGGAGACTATTCTCTGTGGCCACAGGGGACAGGACAAAGAGCAAGTAAACTGAGGATATTTCAGTTGGAAATTAGGAGGAACTTTCTGACTATAATGGTGGTTAAAATCAGAGCAAGCTACCTAGAGAAGTTGTGGAAGCTCCATCCCTAGACATTTTGTCCAGGGCACAAACCCTGCTTGTTATGCCACTAACTGCATGACTATGCTATCCCCTCTTTGACCCAGTATGATCTAAATATCTCTTATGTGATTGCAAAAATGGCATCACCCCCACTCAATGAACCTATTCACAGTGTTTATACAAAGGTCACAAAGAACAATACCAGTTTATTGTACTTGAAAGCGAGCAGATTAACTCACTTTGCTCACTTTTCTTCCTTCCCAGCACACACACAGCTCAGATGTGATCTGAGTTGTATTCTGTGTTTTGTATCATCACATAAAATTCACTGCGTCCCAGTCCCTCAATTATGCAGCTCCACTAAAACAAGGAGTTGCTAAGGGCAGGATTTATCCTAAATAATCTTTATTACTGGTAATAATTAGAGGTTAAAGAGCCCAGCTCAACTCAGAGCATGTTGAATTAATAAGACTGTCACTAGAAAGTAAAATGAAAAGCATCTCCCACTCCTTTTTTGGGAAGGAATTTACTCTACATTGGTGAAAACCACTTATGGCATATACATACACTACCATCATTTACTGCTCCACAGAGCATTATGCTCTAACATACCACACCTGCTCTGCTCACACTACCTCAAATCTGAAACAAAACAGCCACAAGGCACTGCACCTGCTAGCTAATTCAGTCTCCAATTAGCACAAGTGCAGTGCTGCATAAAACACAGCTACACACCTCATTTTGACAACAGTACATGTGGAAAAATGTGCCAAGTTTGAACACACTGCCTGGAGAAGTGAGCACACCTTACGATTTTTCACGCTTATGTTTTGCTGGCATACTTAGATTGATAAGTAGCCTTAAAAAAAAAATTAGACATCTAACAGTCAATAATGGCTGCAATAGAGTATCTGCTGGCAAAGATATTCTGGCAAAAGTTTCACAGCTGGCCTAGCTTATTCCTTATAGAGAACTGGACTGCATATAGCAGCAAAAGACTGTTTTGTCAATATGATCCAAATGATCACTAGAGGAGACTACTGGTATAGTCCTACCAGTATAACCTTGCTAGGCCACTCTTTTAAGTGTTAACAAGGCTTTATAGTAGAAGAAAGTGTCTCTACAGGGTGCTAGACCACTGTAACTAGACTGGTTCATGTTTACATCTTAAGATGACATCAAAAAACAAACAAATGGAAACATCTTCCCTGAGTAAATATTTCCTCAGACAGGCAAGATGTAGTTAAACAGTACTGGAATCTGGCCAGAACTACATAACAGATGCTCAGAGTATTGTGAACTGTACCATATGATCCTTAATTATTCAAAGCAGTGAAGAGCTGTTTCATATTTCACCCCAAAATGGTACATTTCAGCAGAGAAAATGTTATGCAAAACACTACCAAATACTTTCATATCACTGGAAAGAGGTGAAGACAGGAGGTTAGAACATCAGTTCCTCTGTAATAGTTGTCTTTGATAGTGAGAACAGAAAAAGTTAACATAGATTGTTAATGAAATTAAAAAGACAAGCAAGCAATATTCAAGGGACATATCTAGTTTAACAAATTACAGATTAACACAGTTGCATGCATTTATCTTTAAAGTGTTCACTTTTTTAAAATTTTCTGTAAAACTCTGATCTAAAAATATGCAATGCTATCCAAGAAACGCTGAAAATGCCACAACATCAGGAAAAATAGCCCATGTTTTATACAAGAGGTCTCATCTGACTTCTTCCACTCACAGAATGATCTCAGCCTCCAACCTTGTTCAATTTCTTACTGTTCTTAACATGAAAGGTAAAGAGAAGCCAAGCTCATAAAGGATAATTGCCAAAGCCCTGAACAATTTATATTCCACCAGCTAAAAGCCTGTGTGGATGGGAAAGTTATATTGTAAAAACTATTTGTTTAAATTCATATGAAATTATGTGTTTAAACTCAGATGAAACTCAACAGGGACAACTGCAAAGTCCTGCGTGTGGGGTGGAATAACTGAATGCACAAAAAGACCAGGGAATAAATGGACAGACCGCCGAGAAGGACCCGCGGGTTAGAGTAGCCCATTAGCTGAATATGAGCCAACAGCGTGCTTCTGTTGCAAAGAAAAAGAAAGGGGAAAAAGGAAAAAAGCCAACAGCATACTGAGCTCTAGTAACAGGAATGTTGTTTGCAAATCAAGGGAAGTGATTCATTTTTTCTCTTCAGCACTAGTGGGGCCATACCCAGAGTACTATGTCCCATTTTGGGCCCCACACTTCAAGAAGGATGTGGGCAGATCAGAGAAAGCACAGAGCAACAAAAATTATTAGGGGCATGGAAAGCATGACTTATAAAGGAAGGTAGAAAGAACTAGGGTTATTTACTCTGGGGAAGAGAAGGGAGGGGGGGATTTCATAACTGTCTTCAAATACCTGAAGGGCAATTATAAAGAGGATGGAGACTATTCTCTGTGGCCACAGGGGACAGGACAAAGAGCAAGTAAACTGAGGATATTTCAGTTGGAAATTAGGAGGAACTTTCTGACTATAATGGTGGTTAAAATCAGAGCAAGCTACCTAGAGAAGTTGTGGAAGCTCCATCCCTAGACATTTTGTCCAGGGCACAAACCCTGCTTGTTATGCCACTAACTGCATGACTATGCTATCCCCTCTTTGACCCAGTATGATCTAAATATCTCTTATGTGATTGCAAAAATGGCATCACCCCCACTCAATGAACCTATTCACAGTGTTTATACAAAGGTCACAAAGAACAATACCAGTTTATTGTACTTGAAAGCGAGCAGATTAACTCACTTTGCTCACTTTTCTTCCTTCCCAGCACACACACAGCTCAGATGTGATCTGAGTTGTATTCTGTGTTTTGTATCATCACATAAAATTCACTGCGTCCCAGTCCCTCAATTATGCAGCTCCACTAAAACAAGGAGTTGCTAAGGGCAGGATTTATCCTAAATAATCTTTATTACTGGTAATAATTAGAGGTTAAAGAGCCCAGCTCAACTCAGAGCATGTTGAATTAATAAGACTGTCACTAGAAAGTAAAATGAAAAGCATCTCCCACTCCTTTTACTTGAAAATTGGGAATACTGATAAGCAGATGAAAAACATGGAATTGCACAATGCCAGTTTTACAGATTCCCTTTAAGAAGTATAAACCCACACCTGAAAATTCACTTCTACCCAAAGACCTAATTCCTTCTGTTGCTGTTTGTTACTTCCCAGATATTAATTTAACAAAGAAAGGTTGTGCAGTCTGTACCTTTTCTATACTGGCATCACACTCTTCCAGGCTGTACATAGCTACATTCAGCTGCTTATATTGACCCAAGTGTGCAACCAAGAGAATCATGCAAACCACAAAGTAGAAGCAATACAGGGTGCAATTTACAACAGCTCAATATATGCATTGACAAGGAAACAAAATGGAACAACTGGAATCCCACATCTCTCCCCCTCAGAGACAAAACATAAGCATGCAAATACAGTTTATGGGAATGTTCAAGCCACCCAAAAAGAGCTGCCCCAACAACTGTTGCAAAGAGCTGGTAAAAAGCTACCTACCACATCAAACCTTTATCAAAACCAAAATGCATCTTTTTAACCAAAAAGAATTAAGAAGGTATCTCAAAACGAGTACAGAATTTCTGGAGGACAGATGGGGCAGAAATACCCAATAGCCTGTGATTAGGGTACTTACCCAAACAAGGTGCACCTAAACTGGCAAGGCCCTTCCCTGTTAACCCTCAACAGAAAGTAATATTCTGCAACCTCAAAAATAATGGAATTGTTTTCTGACCAGCCATACTGCTACTATCAGATAAGGCTGATGCAGGTAGAAAATGATAGACTAAACAACACTATTACATACAGTTGATTTTCATCAATTGCTAGGACAGTATGAGGCAACACAGTATTAATTAGTCTTTTACTTGCATTTAGAAAAGGGGCATCAAAATGTAAACAGTTCACTGGAAAATTAACTGTTCAAATTAATACAGGATTCAGCATAATTAGAGGCTATTTACCACTGACACACAAGTGTATATGCAAATGAATGCCGCTCCACCTTTTGGGTGATGGATGACCTTCTCCTCCATGGCTTGAATCAATGCCAGATTCATGAACTGCTTCATAATGCTTGAAGAGTTCTTCAGCAGATCCATGAGATTTCATACACAGAGGACAAATAAAGCCCTATTGGGGAGGAAAAAAAGTTGTTTTTGGCTTTTCCCATACTACTCATTATAAGACTTTCACCAATACCATTTAACAGGACAAAATATTTAGGAGAGGGTGTTGACTCATGTGAAAACATATTTAAAAAAATATCCTAAAGACCTGCACAAACATTCTCTTCATTATTCAGTGCTGTTTTCCAAAAACAACTATACCATTTATAAATATTACTTCCTTAGCTAGAATATTTAATTCTATTAAATTAAATATGAAAACTAAAATTTCATTACAAAGAACTCAGCCACTATTTCAAAGGGTTTGGGGTATAGCTATGTTAAAAAAAGAAAAAAAGGACTACATGAAAGTTCCTTTAAAGGAACAGATCCCTCTTCTAACAACTTTGTTTAATTTTGAAAAACTGAGACCCTTAGAAAAGCCCACTCATGTTCATGATACCCATATCAAGCTCCTGCTTTTTATTCAAATACCTGATGGCTTGTAACACTAATAGCAAGGAAATAGAGAGGTATGGAATTACTTCTGGTTTTATATATATTGATGAAACCATAAGCAAGCCAGCTAGAGAACTACCTCATGCAAATTTATCTATTTTGTATAAATAAATTAGTACTATCCATTTAAACTCCAGAATACCTACAGCAGACATACAGTATTGCTTTTTACTTTGCCTGTACTCAATCTATCTAGGTTTGATTTATAATCAAGTTAAAGTGGTTGCCATGAAGTGCCCTTAAACAGTTTATAGATCTCCAGACTAGCCTTTAGCACAGTAACCACCTGTTTAACTAGAAGCCTATTAACTTGAGATTAAAGAATCTACAGTAGGCAAATCCTCTGTGTTTTGTATTTTTTGACGCTATCACTTTGTATAAGTGAGATTAAAGGGCTCTGCCCTCATTATTCGTTCTTCACATGCATTGTGTTTAAAAACACCCACTCTTCAGTGATATACAGAGTACATCTACACGTGCCAATTTAAGGTGCTTTAGCCCAATTTAAGGCACATGAAGGGCGCATGTCTAATGTGCACATGCTTAATGAGCATTAAAAATGATAACTTTAGGCTATTCATGCCTAAAATTGATACCTGCATAAAGCAGGTATCAAATTTAGGCTCAAATAGCTAACTTGCATTGGCAGTGTGTGTCCACTGACTTGGGACTAACTTGAGTCCCAAGTTGGTCCACACACTCATGTTAAGGCACATTAGCTCATGCACGTGTAGACGCTCGCCTAAATTGCCTTAACATGCATTAGGCCAGGGGTGGGCAAAATGTGGCCCGCCATGCCAGTCGATCCAGTCCATGGGGATCCTAAAAAATTTAGAAAATGAATATTGATCTGCCCCTGGCTGCCCATCACGTGGTCCTCGATGGCTTGCCAAAACTCAGTAAGTGGCCCTCCGTCAGAAATAATTGCCTGCCCCTGCATTAGGCACATGAGCATTAAGTTTAGGCACACATAAAAAGCATGTGTACACACACCCATACTATCATAAGCTATAATTCTGTATTTCAGCCTTAACATTGCAAACTTCACTTGCAGAAGTTAGAATGTTCCTGCAAATCTTACTGATATGTTTTTACATATTTTTTGCTCCTTTTCATAACAAAATTAGCATCTACGCTCCATTTGCTATACCATATCACAGGATTAAAAACAGTCATGCTGACGACTATACATTATGCGCAGGCTCACAGGCTGTCATACAACAGCCCATGGACCTACTCTCGTCAGCCAGTGACAACTTCAGACTCTCTAACAACACGAAGAAGACCTAAGTGATGTTTCAACCTGCACCTGGCACAACATCCCAGGAACCACGCATCTCAGTTAAAGGATAACAACTGTTGATGGTTGACAAGTTTGTCTATCTAGGCAGCATGTTTTCCCATGCTGTCCACATCGACAACTAAGTCAATGCGAGACTCGTGAAAGCCAGCGTGACCTTCGGCAGACTCAGTAAGTTGGTCTGAGACCACTGAGGCATTAGAATGTCAACAAAACTGAAGGTTTACAAAGCCATCATTCTCCCAACCCTCCTATATGCCTGCAAAACCTGGATTGCCTACCAGCATCATACCAAGAAACTAAACCACTTCCACCTGTGCTGCCTGCAAAAACTACTAAAGATCAAGTGGCAGGACAAGATCCCAGACACCGAGGTGCTCAGATCAGCTCTCCTCAGTATTCACGCTCTACTGAAACTGGCGCAGCTAAGATGAGCCAGCCACCTTTCGAGAATGCCCGAAACGAACGGCGAACTGTCAAATGGAGTACACTTTCACAGTGCAAAGAAGCAGTACAAGGTCACTCTTTAGTGACACCTTTAGAGTTTTCACATCGACCTGGAGTCGAGGGAGCAAATTGCTCGTGACCGTCCATCCTGGAGGTCATCAATTCAGAATGGAGCACTGGCCTTCGAACAGCAACGCATAGCAGAAGCAACGAAGGAACATGGCCAGGAAAATGAAAACCTCCTCTATCCAGTCCTCATTGCTCTCCTGCCCCTCCTGCAGCAGACTGTTCAAGGCAAAGATCAGGCTTATAAATCACCTACATACGCACGTGACGTAGCCTTCACTCCCCTCATTTCTCTTCCCTTTTTCTGTTTTATCCTCTCTCTTTCTTCCCTCCCTTTTTCTTTCCTACTTATTTTCTTTCTCCCCCCGATCCCTCACTGGATGTGGTTGTCTTCATCCGTGAAGGACAACAACACACATAACAGGATTAAATTAAGTTTAAGGCAAAGCTAATAGTATATCACCTACACTGCATGTTGTGTTTTAAGTAGATCACTAAATAGCATGGCACTCCCTCTCCACCCATCTATTACTTGCTATTTGTGACTAGTAAAACAAAAGCTTGAGTTTTATTTAAATCCAAGGTTATCTACTTAGTATATTTATAAAAGATTGTGGAGGGCCCTAGACCATTGGATGGGAACATCTTAATTTAAGCTCAAGATACAGCCATTATAGCAAAAAAACCTTTTCCCATTTTGTGAATATTCTTTTGAAAACATATGTTTAAAGAAAATAAACATGCTAGGTCTGTAAACAATTCCAAACGAATTAATCTCAATGAGTCCATTACATTCAAAAGTTCTCTTAAGATGTAATGCTTAAAAAATGCTAGTGTTGAGAAGATATTCAACGTGTTCATGTCTAAACCTACACTTCCCACAAAGGGTATGTGTAGACATGCTGTGCGCTTTCTCTCTCTCCTTTCCTAATAATTGATTCATCTAAAGCATTAAGTGGTGTGTGAGTGTACTTTTCATTGTAGAATGGAAGAATGGATTCTGAAAAGGTCTTACCATGTGATGTTGATGCTGTGATAACAGAGTTGATAGCCACATAAAAGGAAAGAGTTCATTCTTTTGCTCTTAGCCTAGTCAACCAGCTGCCTTTTACAGCAGTACAGAGTCATGTCAGGGACAACATACTGAAACAATGCAAAAGGAAAATTTAACTGCCACTTCCATTGTGCAGCACAATGCTCCAGGCTCCATCTCTCCCAAGTGTACCTAAATTCCAACTCTGAGATATTCTTTAGAATACTATGTTAGCATCTTGATTGTTAGCCACTTGATTATAGGAATTGGATCAACTTTGAGAGAAGATATCAAACACAGACAGTAGCAACATAAAACAGATTTTCCAGTGAGGTCTGAGTTACTGAACTGCTGACCATGAAATAAACACAAAAATCTGTGGTACCCAAATTAATTAGATTATTATGATATACATGTCGCATGCTGGCAAAATGCCGATGTTAAAACTATAATATTCATAATAAAGTTACTTAGGTAAGCCTCAGGGTCAAATTCTCAGCTGGGTCAAACTGGCATAGCTCCAATAAATGGCCCACTCTGCTTTGGGGAAGGAATTAAGTCAGCAAGATCTATTTTTTTCAAATTGCTCCCATGCCAACACTTTGCAAGATGCTCTTCAGAAGTTAAAGACTTGACTTGAGCTATATTAATTTACACTACCTGAGAATCTGCCTTTTTTAGAACAGAGGTTAGAAATGCTCTCTAAATGGATTTGTACTTCAGCTGTAAACACTCAGCCTCTGATGCACCTTGGGAGCAATTTTGTAAATATATATTTTTAATTTAAGGTGGGAAGAAAACAGCTGGTTTGAGATCCTTACATGGGACGGCGAGGCGCTTACATAACTAAAGGGCTGATTTTTATAAAATTGGCACACTGTTACATTTTTTTTTTTGAGGGGAAAGTAGCCACGTACTATGACATGCACTAACTTTTCCACACATACTACAGTTAGGAGTTGACATTTCATAAATTTTATCAAAATATTTATACAATATAGTAACAACTCCCAAAAGATAGCAGTGAAGAACTGAAACAGACTGAATACTTTTTACAAAGCTAACTAGGTTTCCTTTTATGTCTCTAAGCAATGGGGTGGGTTTGTAACACTTAGGCTAGGGACAAACATTACATATAAACCAGTTTATAGAAACCAATTTAAAGCTGTAACAGAACAGATGTTCAGTGCACATAAAGCAGTTTGAAAATGACTGAAACTGGTTTGAGATAAACCTGGTTGAATGTATCATCAGACCTAACTGATTTGGCTCAAACTGGTTTATGCAATGTCTGTCCCAGACCCCTTGCTGGTTTAAGATAAACCAGAGACCCCCAGCATCCCAGCATGCTCTCTGGGCTGGGCAGGGCTTTCTGTTCCATAGCAGGGCTGGCTGGCCCCTCCCCTCTGCACCCTGGCTGCAGCTCAGCAAAGATTTGCAGGCACAGAGTGTCTGCCTAGCTTCTCCCTGCTAAACAGGGATTATTGCCCCCTCACCTCTGCCTTACACAGACACCTCAGCATTAGCTGGCTGTGGTCTGTGCTATGCAAGAGGACAGGCAGACCAGCTTTTTGGAACTAATCAACGGGTAGTTTACTGTCCTTCCTTGGAAGAGCTGTTTAAGAAGAGCTCCATTAGTTAATGGAGAGAGGCTTGGTTT